AACCGGCTATGGGAATAACAAACTCCATAAGATTAAGCAAGATCTCTACTTATTCTATTAAAATAGATGCCGTTGCATTACTTGAAAAACACAACCCACCAGGAGTCAACATGTAAACATGCCTATTCACGAATTTTGGGTGAACAATGCGCGGGTCTTTGAAATTAGTGGACAACTTTACACGACTGCGTTTTGGTCATCTGCCGCATGTCGCTTTCAAGTGAAAGAATTTTGATGGTAAAGAGAGGCGCTGCTTTCCAAAAAAGGATGTGCATGAAAGTTACTGCAGGCCCCCTCATTTACCATCAGAAAACACGTGTGTATCTTTATTACACCATAGGCTAAACACAAAAATAACAATTAAATTAGAAATTCCGGTTTTCAGCAAAAATGTCTTTGTACCAAATAATTCGAATTCAACCCACAGAAATCGTTGAAAATCGTTTGGACAATGATTCGTCGCTTCCTAAATTTACGGAACTGTTGGGGATCCAGGATTCCCCAAGACTGCCCATCGCCGGTTTTGTCATTATTTACATTAGTTCCCTAACATCGATTTTATTGCGTCTTCTTTAACAGGTCAAGTCAACATTGACTTGAATTATTGTTTACATTTTGACAACTCACTCGCATTTTGGCAAAGGCGATCTGGTACCGTTTTCTGAGGGGATTTCTCTTGATTACGGACAAAAGTAACAGGAACCGATAGGTTTTCCACACCTTTGAGCTTCACGGTTTTCCAACTAGAGCGTCCAGTTATGGATACTTAGAAATGCCATCTAGAAAATCACTAATACAGGTGATAAGGCGACTGGATGAAGAAGATGCTCCAGCAATGCCCCCATAAGCGTGATGCAGTTAAACTGTAACATTACACTTGCAAGACTCCCAGATAGACGACAGAAGTTAACGAAGGCAGATCGCCAGTTTTGAGGTGTGATGGGCTCGCTTCACATAAATCGCGAGCCAAATTGAGCTCCGATCGCCCAAACGGAAAATTTTATTGCAGTATCGAAACTTTTAAAAGTCTTTCTTCATTATCAATGAAAGCAGAGGAAGATAACTTGATCCATTCAACTTAGGTCCATAATTTCTGAACACAGAAATAATGAATAATATAACAATGTATTAAACCGGCTATTGAACCTAAGTCACGGTATTTTTAGTTGGTATTAGCAGAACAGCATGATAATAGTACTATATTTGTGAGTGCAGACAGGGCAGGATTTCTAAAGTAATACTCAAACTGGATTTATACGTGCGTAAGTGAAAGGTGACAAAATTGGGCGGACTTCTCTGATGAAAAGAACACATGGCAGTCAACCGCAAAATGATTAGAAGGTATCCTTTAGATTGAACGCTTTCATCTTAACAGTCTAATCTCAAACAAAAATAAAAGCCCCAAGCTCCATAAATTTAAAAACGGATTTCATTTGCACCTTATCGAGACATTGACAATTCTTAATGAAACCTTTCATTCAATCACTTACAGCACAGGGTTCCCGTGCTCAACAACCCGGACGTTGAAATTGTGCGCATTCATCGCATAGTCGCCAATCTTATTTCGTGCTTTATAACATCCCAACGAAAGCGAGAGGGCTAAGCAAATTACCACGGAGGACTAACTTCATACATGGCAATTTTGCATGATTAGAAAAATAATCTTTTTTAAATTGTCACTCTAAAATGAATAAAATATACTTCAATACATTTTTAAACAATTCTTCATTTAAGGCTAGAGTTATGGGTAAAGTGGAGCCAACTTCGAGGGGTCAAATCGAGGTCAGGTCAAAATCCCAAAAAGGCCAATTTTGGTTAACAGGTCGGACTTTTCAACAGAACAAATGTGCACACCAAATCGTATGCTCGACGACAACAAAGGCCAATGAAGGGAGCCAGTAGGTCGGCTTTCGTGAATGTGCGAGTGCGCTGTTCGTCACGGTGGGCAAATGTCAATTGTGATGTAGCAGAGCTTATTTGAGCGACACGAAAACCGAGACCAAACCACGCGAAAGGGCATGCAGAGGTATATCGGGACAAAACGTTTCGCTTTTAGACAAGTCAAGGAGCAACTTATTTATCGATTTATATTTTTTTGCTAAGGTTCATATTCTTTAAGAGCATAGCAAGTATTGCAAATTTTGGGTGTCGAGATTAGACGAGATGCGATATCTGAATGTAACATATTTGGCGTGCACAAGTTCTTTAAAGGGAAAGTGATGTGCGGAAAGATAAGGACACACTAACAATCCATAATATGAAACGTAAAGTTGTTCCGCTACAATTTTTAATCACCTTCCGTAAACGCGTTTTTATGTTCCTCTGATTTACTTATGATAGCTTACTCACCTCCAAAAGTTTTGTTTCGATAATTTTGATCGTTAGATCACTAAAGTCAAAAGTGAATACCCCAGTTATTGAGGAAGCAGACTGAAACACCTGCGCTTTAGCCAGAAATTAAGATATCCGGTTCTTTGATCCACATTTAAATTCCTTGTGGTACTCAAATGACATGAGTGCTTCTGTTGCAAAAACTTCAAATGCCGAACGCAAATTTACTTTAACAAAACTATTTAACCTTTACTTCTTCACTTAGAAAAAGATAATGTTTACTAAAATGAACCTGGGGTTGCTATCATACGCTTCATGCATCGACAGCAACAAAACCACTATTGCATCCCTACCGAATTTAATAACAGTAGAATTGAAAGCAAATTACAAAAAAGTAAGATTTAGACATGTTTTAAATAGTCTTTTGGTGAAAGCCTGTAGAAATTGCCATCAAAAAGTCTCAGCCCTTTGTCCTTTCAGTCTTAGCATCGCGAGAAAAATGTGGCAAGTAGAACCCCCCTCAAGTCGACACACACCAGTTCAGTGTCTTGTGTGCATCGGCGTGTGGTCTCAAACCATGATGGAGCCGCCGGATTGAATTGGCCCGTTTACGTGGTTTCATTTTCACTGAAGTGGACTGTCAGGGAACGCGCTTGAGTGAAGCCTGATTACAGGCTAATTTGTGTGACTCTCCCCATTTTGCATTGATTGCTGCTACCGGTCGCCAAATATGCACGCTCACTCCTCCGTACAGAAAGGCACTTAGCTGGCGCGACGCTGATAAACGGTGGGATCAAGCTGCTGTACATCTCGTTAAACGCCGTCAGCTGGTGGCAGAACAATGCTCACTTGCGGCTAAAAGACTTGAGAGGGCTCAGTGTGATATATAACCCTTAAAAATAAAGTGCGCGTTTGCTGAGCATGCGTCCTAGGCATCGTTATTAAAAGCGCTGAAAGATCCATGTAGACGTGCCAACTAATAAATATATTTCTACACGAAGTCAGCTAATACTGCCGATCGCATTCGGGTTGCTTGCATATCTGATTATAGTCCCAAGTCACAAAGTGACGAGGTTACGTAAATTGTAGCGAAACATTTGGCGAAGTAATTCACACTCCCATCCTAAAAAAGTTGGACTAAAGTATTCTTGATACTTGGAAGACGATTCTGCGTGTGCCCGGTATTGTTTGAGAAGGTAGTATTGACGGAGCCCGACGAAATGTAACAACGCCACCTTACGGTAGACTGACAGGTTTGTGCTAACTTTGCCAGTCTCGCGTGTGCAGTGAAGCAATTCTACTTTCTGAAAAAATACAATTCCTTAGTGTGGGAGAAAGCTTTAATTAGACGCCAAAACGCTACTTTGCTTTAGAAGAAACCCTTTTAGCAATTTCGAAAAACTGAATTAGAATTTAAAACAAAAACAGCTTTATGAAGACAACTAGCTTTGAAAGGACAACTCAGAAAAGTCGTAGCAGTCATAATAAATGATTTTACCAAACGTTCCGATCATAGTTAACGACACACCTAGCTACAGCCGTTAAATCGGATTGAAGTATTCTGTCGCCCGGAAACATTTTATCGGCCACCTAGTTCACTCCGAACTGACAGTGATCCCTATTAAAAAGCCCATATTATGCAAAGCACCATTTACCTACATTCCACACTGTAGCATTAAGTTACGCAAAATCATCAACAGTGGGCCGTGTGATTGTGATGTAAACTGTAGGAATGTTGCAAGTTCCAAAAGTAGTCCTCGTCTCAGAAGAATCGATTCCGGAGCGTTGAGTTTAAGCAGCACCGTAATGAGAACGAATTCTTCGACTAACCTAAGAGCTATTGCCATGGTAACCTCAAAAGCACTCTCGGAAGCCACCCAAATCCGAGCCAAATTTCTTATGACGAAAACTCGACCGGGATTCGACTCTCACAAAACGCCTTCGCTTATTTAAGAAAGTTAGAGCAACCCATGATTTCTGTAAGCCACATCTCTGAATAGTTCTGAACACAGGCGACAAAAGGACCAGCATCTGTCAGTGGACATGACGTTTACCAACGAATATTTCAGGTTGCCATAATTCTCTGTTCAGATCAGACTGGAGGCATTCCCAATCGAATAAAGCTGTGCTTTATTCACCAGACTAAGCGACTTTTGGGAACAAAGAGTGCTCTTTATTGCTTTCCAAAGGATTGCGGGATCATTTAAAACCGATTTTCTCTACCCTTTCATCAAATTATACACGAATGAACAGAAGGACTCCGACCCCCATAAGCGATCTAGGTTTCTTACTAATTTCACTTCAGTAGAACGTCATCGGTGATAAAACATGCGGCAATTAGAAGCGGTAATTCCGGTCCGGTTCAACAAACACAATGTATGAATGTGACAACACAAAGGCGCGAATGGTGTGGTCGTAATAAGTGATGTCATTTCAGTATGTATAAAACCATGGATGGAAAGAAAGGTGGAGCTTCAGGAGTTAGACTCGACACGCGCACGACGAGTGGATTGGAGGAGGAGGAGGAGGCGGCGGCGGCGGCGGATGAAGAAACACTTGCAGAATGGCGAATTTACATGGTGCAAATGTGGACCGAACCATGCAGTGAGAGACAGGGGCGATACTTCGATCCACGAAGCAATGACTTGAGAGTACCTGAGGTCATCACTTCAACTGACGGAGGTGCATGGGGTTGAGGGAGACCCCATTTCTTGGAGGACACGGTCAAGCCACTTGAGCGGCTCATTCAAATGAAGTTCTATCCAACATGGCGTACTAGTAATTGTCTGACGTCTAAAAATAAAATTTGCCTAGGTCAAACATTTGCTGGCCGTGTCTTATTATCCGTTAAGTGAAATATTATTAAAAAGGTTGCAACATTTTAGATTCGTTAAAACCTAACAACACGAGATACTCGGAGAAATATCAACAACAACAACACCGTGCCATGTACCTACGCCTCTGAATGGATCGTGTGTTTGGGTTATAAAGACTACTAACAAGTATATGCATTAACGAACGCTTGATTTGAATTGTCATAGCTACCATATGCAGATAATCTTTCAAGTGAGCGTGTGAAGGGACACCAGCAACAGCTCCAATAACAAGCAAAATGCATTGACGTTGAACTCATCACAGATTTCATGTCCCCGCGATGAAAACAAGTAATGCGTGAAACTCGGACGGCAGAACCTGCAATCCAATATACACAAACAAGACATTGTAAGCAGCAACGCGCAACTCAATGTGGCAACAACTGGCGAGAGCAAGATGAGCAGCTTCGCAAGTACACCTTAGGAGAGAGGTCACTTGAAAAATCCAACGCCGCGACGAGTGGTCAGGTAGGCAAAGCTTGATCATTTGATAACACCAAGCCTCGTTTCTAAGCATATCAATACAATGCATGATTTAAAGCAAAGGGCAAGGCCACTTATATGACCATGAAGGGGATTCGATATGAAGGAAGCTACACTATGCACTTCAAATGACGTGTTCAAATATGTTGTTGTCAACCTAAAACCCGGAAAGTTCGGTGCCCACTTTCGATTAAACACGGAGCAGGCTTTGCAAGAACTGCCGTGGCCCCATTACCACCTGATTTACTAACTTCCCAACATGCCGCATCGAATGGTGCGCGTAATTATAATGGTCAACAACTGGAAATTGGTTAAATGAGGTGTGCTATGACAATTCGTATTAGCAAACAGAAAATAAAAAGAGGCTCTTCATGTGAGACGGAGGTAAGTTTCGGTGCCACCACTGGTGAACTTTAATGTAGGTGAGATTTACGCGGCTTTAAAATCATAACAAGTAGTAGCCGTATTTTTAAAAGTCGGAGTTCACACCTTTACTGTGGAAGTAAAGAACCGGTTGAAACGGTAGGAGAGACAATTAGTCATTTGACGATGGTAAACACAGCTGAGGTGGCAGCACGTAACACCAAACACTTACGAAGTCCACTGCCATTGTGACGAATTAGTTCCGTTGTCCAGAAAGCGACTCTAAACTGATTGAGAATCTTGTCTCGGCGAACATCTGTGCTCCATGCATTCTAACCAAGTTCAATTTACGTAATTCGCAAACTGGCACATTGGACGTCTTCAAGGTGAATTACTTTTCTATCGCCCGTCACGACAAAGACAATAACTATGCCGGATTCCTCATCGTTCAACAGAACACCAAGTGTTAAAGCACTTGAAGATGAACTCGCTTAAGTTAGTAACTGAAACGTCGATGTATTTAGTATCAACTCTGATTCCACGACCCGCCTTTTTACTCAAAACGACTTTTTCCTCAAAACATACTTTTCTTTCAAACGCATACTGAGCTTTTGACTGTTAAAATCAGTATGAAAATGATGTCGGTCACGTTAGAATTGTCGAATCATGTGTCATAAAAAGGCAACAACCTTGGGCAAACCTCACAGCCCGTCTAGGACATATCCTACTAAAATTAGCACTAAGTTTACGAATGCAAAAAAAGAAAAAAATCACCAAACATAGGGCTAATCGTTGTTAGGTAAAGTCAAGTCTTTGGATTAATGGAGATGGTCAGAATGCTGATTGGAACAAGTTGTTTGCTTGTCACTACTTACTAAATTCAAATATGGTGCTAAACAAAAACTGATTTAACCTTAAAAAGGGCGGTAGCAGAGTTTAAGGGTGGTTTGGTAGAACCGACTTTATGCAAAGGCGTAGTTAAGACTTGAGCAAACCTTGCCAAACCGTGGGTCTTGGATGGAGTAGACAAGAAAGAGGCAGTAAAAGAATACGACGTTGCGTACCGGTAATCAGCACCCCAACCTTTGACGAAACTGATCCGAATGAAGCACATATGGGTAAGGGAGAAGACAGTTTCGTAATTCCGAGAAACTGATTGCGACAGCAGCTCCGCGAACTCACGATTATCAAAAACTCGCAGGTTGCATCCTAATTACAAAAAACAACACAGAGAAACATGTGTTAGTCATAAAGATGGAATTCCAGTGTTGGTATTTTCCAAATTTAATGAGGAAGAAATCCGTCAAGCACTTTAAGGAACACGAAAATACAGATTAGGGAATTGATAAAAACGACACCCAACCAAGTAACCATGTGAGAAAATCAAAACAAGTGTGGTGTTGCATCCGAAACGGCAGTCGAATGTAAGCATTGGCCCGTTATTTACGCCCCACCACCCCGTGGCCACTGCAGCTAGGGCAAAAGCAAAGGGGCAGCGCTCGCTCAGCAGAAGCGCTACCTACCGGTGCTGCGGGGAGTTGACTGACATCAACAACTCACGTGGTGGGACCTTGACCACCGTGGCAGGATGCCAGTTGTTGAGGCGATTGCAGCTCGGTGACTGGACAAATATCGCCGCATCACTTAAGCACTCCACAAACACCTCCCCCGATATGTAGAGAAGATTGAGCCCGCGGCCTATAAAGGAGAAATGTAGGGCTGAATTGGTTGGTTTGGATAAGCAGGACAATCCAGATATATGGCCAGAAAGCTCAACCTAAAAAGTCTTCCGCAAACTAGCCACCTTGATCAAGATTCTTTTGTGATGAACATTTGTTTATTTACCATGGTGTTCTGGACGGTCCCTTAAAGCAAATACCACTATACTTATATGGTGAAAACGAAGAAAAGAACAATTCTCATTCCTGAGTAGACTAACAAACAACTTGCAAATGTGTGCGTATTTTGGAATATTTAACTATCAAAATATATTTAGCCTGTTTCTTTAATCAAGATCAATAACACAGAAAACAAATAAACAGAAATTTGAAACGTGGACTTCAAAAATGAAAAAATACCAGTTGGTTGCAACAGCCACTGATATCCCTAAAAACATTCTACTACATAAAAATCTACAATAGCAACTCAAACAATGAAATAACTCCATTTGCAACCAACAGGTTTTGAATCTATTTAAGGAGGCCAAAGTACCGCATGGCTTGCATCACGCATCACTCAGTGTTCAGCCCCCCTGGCTGCAAGCATCCCTTAAATACAAAGTGCACGCGCCACCAACCAAGTACGTCGTTACGTAAGCACCATTTTTATTCACCCCTTCCATCCACAACCACCGCGTACCACACACACACACACACAAACCGGTTTCTTCCAATTTCATAATCGCCATTCCAAATTCCACTGTGTGCTTTATATAACGAGG